TGAGTTTTAATTAGCGATCAAAATAATTTTAATCGATCAAAAAGTTTAACGATTAATCGAGAAATTAGTCTTTCATTTCCACAGCCCTAGTATTTATATATGTCTTTTCTCTCTCTCTCTCTCTCTCTCTCTCTCTCGCTATACATATATTTAAATGCCATGATTTTATTTAGCCTAGCTTGAATGCTTTAAATACAGCAGTAATGAATTACAGCAGCTACCTGGAGTTGCCCTTTACCTTTGGTTGTGCTTTTAATCCTTTTACAGGGAGTACATTTTACTCAAAAGCGAGTTCTGAACTATATTAATATCCAGAAAGTACTTAGCCGACCTTTAATATGCATTCAGTTTCAGTGAAAAGGTCTAGAGGGATTTGCATCTGGTTGAAGCGTAGCACAACATAATTAGGAGGCTAGAAGCAGACTATTAAAGTAATCAGCGTCAGGTACTGTAGGAAAATTCAGCGAGCACATTTGCGTTTGTTTACCTTGAACTGGAAGAACGTAACAGATTATGCCAACAGTCGCCGAAGAATAAAGATCCCACCTAATGACCACACATGCCGGCGTATTAAGCACTTCTGTGCATCTGCAACAGCGTGGCCTTTGCATCTGATTCACCGAAGCTTAATTTAATTTTTCAAGGCACATTACTGAACAATAAATAAATAAATAAAACACACAGCCATACCTATCTGTGATCAGCCAGTGTAAAGAGGCTAATGTGTTGCTAGGCAACGTGACATCTGCAAAAGTAAAATAAATGTAGACAAGAAAATGGCTGCCTAAGCGCTCTCATCATTAGGTGATAATTTTTTTTTCTCTGGTTGCGCCTTGTAAGACCGTACATCTGACCATTGCATGGTCTGAATTTGTTTCAAAAGCGCATGTGTTCCTCGTGAAAAATAAACAGCTTTAAATGCCGGTGACCAAAAAAAGGCAAGGTTTAATGTGGACGAATGCAGTTGTTGAATATGTTTGGCTTACATACAGAATGCATGGTGAATGTCAGAAGCACAGCCGAGTCACAGTCAGGATTTCAAAGGCTGACCGACATGTGACATGACTGAACTTTGTTTAAGGATGTCAGAAAAAAAATAAATGTGGAAGAACGGTGCTCCCAGATTGCTGAGCATTCCAGCGCAATGACCTTTTTCTCTAAAAGCGAACAGTGAACTTTTTTTTGTTATCAAACTTAATTAAGCAGTTTTGAACATTAGAAGCTTAATACGCCACAAGAGGCCTGGCTGCCAACATTTTCTTGGACTGATTTCTAAGATCTGATGACTTACTATGCACAAGCTGAAAAAATAAAATTTGTGGGCAAGGAGCAGTTTTGTTGTTGTCTTCCAGCTGCAAAACTCCCTTTTCTAGGTGGATTTTCTCTTGAAACAGGTAAATGTGTTCCATTAACAACTGGGTACGGTACAAGTGCTTGAACAGGAATACGTGTAGGGAACTTGTGCATTTTTCACATAGATTAGCCCAATCATTTCAATGGGCTGCCCTACGAAGGAGAAACTTGGCAAAGAGCCTCATGCGTCTGACCTGTAAAATTTCAAATTTTTCACAGAAGTGTGCATCTTGCTTGCCATGTTTAGGGTGCCATTAACAACGAATGGTACCACATGCACTATTCACACTTGCTAGCATGTGAAAACGCGTACTGTTTTTGTGCATTTTCACATGTTTGTCACGTGTCTGCATAGGGCAGCCTTTTAATTTCAATGAGCTGCCCTATGTGCGACAAAGAAGCTCAAGCAGCTGTTGGAACAGCTTCCTGCATTTTGACAACACGCTTCTGGCATGTTTTTTTTGGGAAAAAAAGGGCATCTTGCTTGCTGCGTGTAGGGTGCTATTAACAATGAATGGCATTGCAATACTACCATAGCTCATTCCCCCCATGTTATAACTCTTTTAAAGAGATGCAAGTACAGAAAGATAGTTATTCATCTGCCAGAAATCCAGTGTGTTCCCAGCTCCATGCATGAACTGAAAAGATTGTCACGGCGCTGAAATCCCAAGCATTATCAGCTCTGTCTAATTCCCTCCTGCAGGCCTACAGACATCCCCTCTCTCGATCTCCATTACCTAACATGGAGGTGTTCTGTAGTCAATAAAAGAGAACTGTACAGAGCTGATAACACTGCTTGAGAATCTCAAAGCAACAGAGGCAGAGCGCACAGGAAGCTAGGGGTTTTCCCGATTCTGCACTACCACCAGCATACCTAGGGACATGTGCATGTATTGCAGAGATTTACCAAATACCACCGCCCCCCCAGGATATACACTCTAAGGACTGTTAAGGGACGACTTGCACTTGTCTTAAACACTCGCTAAGCAAAGCTTAATTTGCAGCCGAGCAGTAAACACTTGCACAGTGTAACTTCCTATGATCAGCCACCTATAGGAAAAGTGAAATGGTCTAGGCCTGTGTATATCAACTTAGAGCAGAACTATACCCTACTATCCTTTACAGCCAAGGAAGGTGCCATTTTACCTTCTATTTGGATTGCAGTTGCCATGGTGCTGCACATGTGATTAGCTAGGGCACTGGCCATTTGAGGGCTTGAAAGTTTAGTTGAGTGCTGAAATAAGCACATCATTGGCATTCCTTTAAAGCAACTGTTTTGGAGACAACTAAATTGGTGGGTGAAGTTCCGCTTTAAGTACCACTAACAGGCCAAGTTTGCAGGATTTTTCATTTATATAGGTAAATAAAACTGCCTTTCTGTGCTCTAAACCAGGTAAATACTGAAACCATGACCTGCGGGGGTCCTCCTGCTACAAGCAGAAGGAAGGGGCTAAAAAAAAGTTTCACTAATTTGAATCCGCTTTCCTTTGGGCTTAATAAATAAGGAAAAGGCCAATATGCGTTAACCTACAGCAACCAATCGGGTTACAATGGATTACTGCACTTTGCAATTCACCATAGCTCTCTGCACGGCTGCACTAGATACGCCTCCTTGTCTGTCCTTACTGGCTTTCCGTTTGGAGCTTTTAAAAGCGGATGATGAAACTATGTTTGTGTTACAGGTTAAACTCAATAATTACATCCATAAAACATATTAATTAGCTTGTGTACTTTGCCACATGTCTCCAACACGGGGAAACACAGTAGGGGTTGACGGTGGTCAAGAACACTCCAGTTGAGTTAAATCAGTCATTAGCTGGTGAATGTTTATGAATACTACATTGCTCATTTGTAAATTGCGACAAAGCAAAATAAGAACATTAGGTTGGGAAATTCGTAAACAGCACTCATTTATTCCTGCCAATATCATAGAAGCTGGAAATTGAATGCTAATGCTTTAGATAATCAGTGTACTTGGCATCAGAGATGATTTTAAATAAATAATAGTAATAATGAAAATTGCATAGGGAACAAATTACCCAGACAATAGTTGAAAACTGAGCAGTTCCGCAACCACAGGACATTTCAAACGTTTTAATTAGTGGCGGTGGAGTTTCATATAAATAACCAAGGGTGTTATACAGTTCAGCTGTTCTCACAAGGATTCAGACATTGCACTGTTGAAATCGAATGATATAGAATGATTTATATGATGTAACCCAGGAATTTAAACAATAGCACCCATTTAGGAAGCTTCAGCAAAGGCAACAAAGTGACGATGCCCATAGCAACCTGCTTTGGTTCTGCTTTCTAACCTGCTACAAAATAAGGACAGTTGGGTTCTAATTGGTTGCTCACTCTCTGGGCTAAGTATATACCGTTTATACAGGAGCCACCTTCTGTCCTCAACATTTTATTTGGGGTTATTTGAAAGTATGTATAAAAAAAAATAAACAAATGGTCAGGAATTCTTAATTGGGGGCATTACTACCCCTTGGTGGTATGGGAACTAAATTAAATGACATGGGTATAGGACACACATAAAACAAACAGGATTCTCCATAGTATTAAACCATAGTATTGAACTAAGATTGTTCAAACAGGATTCTCCATAGTATTTAAACAAAATTGTCACGGCGCTGAAATCCCAAGCGTTATCAGGTCCGTCTGATTCTCTCCTGCAGGCCTACACACATCCCCCTCTCCTGATCTCCATATCCTAATATGGAGGTGTTCTGTAGTCAATAAAGAAGAACTGATAAAACTGCTTGAGAATCTCAATGCAACAGATGCAGAGCACACTTGAAGTCAGCGGTTTTCCCGACTGCGCACTACCACCAGCATACCTACCACCAGCATACCTACGGACATATGCATGTATTGCAGAGATATAGCTAACTTTTCTCAGATGATCCTAGCTTCCATATTCAAAGTAAAACCTGGTTATTGACATGTTTCAAAGTCATACTGGTACCCAAGAGGACTGGTCATAAGGATGACCGACTGTCTGGGGAAGGTGGATAACGGTATAGACTGAGTAATCCATTAAGGGGACTAATTGTAAAAAGGCTAGGAATCTCAGGTCTAAGTAATTCTGCCAATGTGTGCATGCAACAACTGTTGCTTCTTCCATTGGACAGGTTGTAGAATCCTGTTTTTATTCCTATTTTTTTATGAAGAGGTAAACAGGTATATAGCCTATCGGAGACTTATCCACACATGCATTGATCCAGATCATACCTTCCAACTTTCACCGCAACGTTTAGGTTGAAAATGTATAGACATCTAGGTAACAATATCATCTTTGCGGGGCAACATATACAACTAAATAGGTGTACACAAGGAATCATTTAACAGTAACAGTGTTACCTAAACATTGCAAAGGCAGTGATGGTGGTGCAAGCATGGTCATAATTTGGAAAACACTGGATTAAAGCTAGGCTAAACTCTGGTCCTCAAGGCTGATTTAAAGCATACGTTTTGCTCAATACCAGATAGGTGTAAAGCTGAATAAATTACTAACCCATGTAGTAGACAACACTGTGGAAGTCTGTGAAAAGGTCTGAAGAACTTGCATGGGAGCAAGCGTTGTGGACGAGGCACTGCTGGACTAGAAGGCAGTTCTGATACGCAAGAAGCTGACTCACCAGTTACAAGTTCCCGTATTTCCTGGTCGTTCGTTTTTCTCAGTAGTCTAAGTAGTGCAGGGACCCCGCCAGCGTTCTTCACTGCTATTTTATTTTCATCAGTAGACTTGCCATAAACTAAGTTCCTTAAAGCACCACAGGCATTCTTCTGAACTTCCAGGACTTTGTTATCCAGCAGGTCTACCAGGTGCTTTATTCCTCCCTGTCTGCAAACCTAAAATGGAAGAAACATGGAAACGTTGGACAGAAAGCACATACAAAAAAAATTACCTGCTAAACATCAGCAATGAACATCATTCTAATGATGGGACACTTTAAAAGGGATGTATAGTGTTTACTACATATTTTCTTTAAGGTATAATTGCACACTGCAATACTACGTTTTTTATGTTTTCTACGTTAAACGTATATATATTTATATATATCTATATATATCTCCAGGAAAGGAAAATTACGGTAAGTATGTGATAACAATTTTCCGTTATATCTATATATAGATATATACATCTATCAATGGATAAAAGTAAAAGCTTGTTAATATTTTATACTCTCCGTTTGATTCAGTAAGTGGAGTATATTAGCATTGTATTTCTGTGGATACAGCGCAGAGAAAAGCCTGTCGTTTCCAGGACTGAAATTATTCACCACTGTAGTGACTGAACCCCTAATATGTTGTTCAGTAGGAAGTTTTATCCAGCCAAAGGCAGCTGAAAAGCAAGCAGCTTTTGCTGTGCTGTCTCTTCAGAAATGCCACAGTTCTCTGGGAATCCGTTGTTATAGATTACATGTTTATTTATAAAACAGGAATTGCTTACAATATATAAAAACAATCAAGCAGTGGTTTAAAAAAAAAAAAAACTTTAGTAAAATTTTGACCCAAAACCATTCTAGTTTTCCTTTAACAACTCTCCTTTGTAGTGCTTATAAATCATAATTTAAAAGAGAATTATATTCAAGGCTTCAATAACCATAAGAGCTGATCTAGGTAGCCATTGATGTTGAATGCGTTGCACCCACAGTGCTGCTGAGACACGTGTTCAAACGGAAAACGCAGCAAAGGCCTCCCTTGACTCGTTTTCCTGCAATGCTAACAGAACTCAAACGGACCTGCTGCCTACAAAGGAATGCAACACAAAGCTGGCCAAACGCAGCAGGTTCTCAACACGATACCACTAAAAGGAATGGAATTCTGCAGACTATGTTTACGGTGCTCTTCAAATGCAGGGAAACCAGGTCCATCTACACAGGCCTTTAGAAATGTACTTCACAGCATTCAAAGAACTCGCCCACTTTCAGAGTATTTATGTTTTGACTGGAATACTTTTCTAGCTACAAAGCAGATACAGAAGAATTAGTGGAGCTTACACACCTGAGCCCGATGACAAAACTGTTTTTGTTGTGCATAGTGCCATATGATCTAGGAGACCTCCCAGCACAATATGCAGGACGGAATAAAAGAAATATGGTTGTTGTGTACAACAAGGACAGTCCCCCTTTTCAGACTTCGCTAAAAAGCGCCAAATGCTTAATTTCCAAAGCAGCAGAATGTCTAATCTGGCAGCCATTATAACATGACTAATGCCAGTACAGATTCTGAATTACTGCATACAGCAGGAGGCATATTTTTCTCCCAAACAATAACAGTTTTTCCCTTCTGTTATTATATGACAGAGAAAAGATTGCTATCATTCAGGTAGATTGTAAAACTCAATGGAAGCACCAGAACAACTATTTTTCATTGACAGTTATTTTGTAAAGAGGCTATTGAGTGTCTCCCGTGCATTTTAAAAGCAGGGTATTTTTTTTGTAAAAAAATTGCTTGCTACTAAAAGATATCATTTTGGCGATCAGATAACCTACCGCTGTGACAAATAACTTTATCATGAGATTTCTAAGATTTAAACACGCCCAAAGTATAAAAGTGGAGCTGAAAATGCACTATACCTCAATGGAAACATTTTGTAAAATATAATGGAGCAAAAAAGTAAAGTGTAGCCAACAGTTATGGCAGATGCATTACAAAGAGGACAATAGAAAATGGGGAGTCTGATTGCTATGGGCAACAACTCCAATTCATTTGCTCCAATTTTAAATTCCACTTTTCAAATGTAAACAAACAAATTTCACAGGTCCATTGGAGCTTTTCTTAGAAAATCTTTTTTGGGAGATTCTATCTCTTTGTGTGTGGCCAATTGTCTTACTTCGAATTGTGCATCCAGGATAAAAAGCAAAGAGAAACAGGAAGGACAGCAGGAAAAACCCATTAGAGGATCTAACCCTTCTTCAATCAATCTATAATTAGAAAAATGTTCTGACTGGAGCTCCACTTTGCCAGTTAATATCTATGGCTCAACAGCCAATTTTTTTCCCAAAGGGAGATGATGCACAGGTTGACATAAAATGCAACTGCTCTGCCCCAGGGGTTTCTGTATTGTTCACTACTACACAAAACCCAGCTGGAGTTCATACCTCCCATCTGGAGGGACTTTCCCTCATTTAGAATCAAATCCCTCTGTGCCCCTTTCCTCCTCAGTTGTCCCTCTTTTTGGTCTGATATGCAGATATCTATGAAAAGTTTTATTGAACTACCAAAATGTTATTCTGCACTAAAACATTGATATCATCTCTTATCTAACTTGGCTTTCTATTTCAAAAATCGAATAGTAATGCTGAAAAATAAATCTGGGTTTAGCCAATCATGTTTATCATATAAATTCCTAACGGTTCACATAACTGGGGGCACGGAAGGAGTGTATCCAGTGATTAAACACATTGTGCTGGAAGGTGTTCCTCTTTCTCATCTCAGAAATTTGGGACTATGGGAGCATACTAACTGGGCACTGGCGGAAGGAGGGGACAGGCACGCTCCCTATCCAACCCATAAGGCAGCACTAGGTGTTTGTGCAACCATTTACCAGGTTTAAGCAGCGTCACTTCAGAAGCATTGCTAAACCTATGCATTTCAGAAAGTTGGAATATGCAACAGATTCACCAGAGGCTCCAAATGGCATTTTAAAAGGAGGATCACTGTAAAGCTTCAGGTACAATCCAACACCTATTGTGTCTACTATGCAGCAGCACTTTCAGGACATTTTTGGCCAATAAAGGTGTATTGTAAAGATTTGTCTACATTTAGGGGCAGCCATTTTAGGAAGCTGTACGCATGACAAGACAGCTAATGTCATGTGTTCATTTTAATGAACTATGGACACCACAGAAACAAAGCATATTGCACTTTAGTGACGTTATTAGAGCCAGAACAGTCTTGCTTCACTTCCCAACCCATAATACGATATTTTAAGATGTCACAATGACCAGGTGTCTGTGGCTCCTTAAGGAATAGAGTGTTCATGGTTAGACCTACCTCAATCTTGGTTTTATGGTCTCCGAAGCAGAGATGCTGCAAATAGGCGGCGGCATTTGCCTGCACAGATGGGAAGTGATGCTGTAGCATGTGAATGACCTCGGGCAATTCAGGGTCACGCCAAGCAAACTCTCTAGAGGAGGAAATGGAGAAACAGATTAATGAACACTTTTACGCAAAATCCAGAGTCTATGTGCAAGCTTTAATATTTAACTTTGTCATAGTGATTGTTTACAGCAATGAAGATACATCCAAGGCTATTGACATTTTTAAAGCAGATATCCAGACACAGGGTCAAAGATTGCAAACTAATTAAATCTGATAAAATTAAGTAGGGCATTTAGGGACTTGAATCTGAGTTTCAGGCAGATATAAAACACAAAAAGGAATGCAGGCATGTATTCATTAGTACATTAAAGATATGTTATACATACACTATTATGCACCTTATAAATACACTGCTAGCAGTGTAAGTTACTGCATTTGACTTGGTGATTGCACAGCAGAGCTCAGAATGGGGGAGGGAAAAGCAGCACCCGGAGCCACTCAGGTGTGCTGCAGTACAAGAAGCATGCCAATAGGAGGAGAGAACAGTGATAATGAGGTAAACTCATCAGTCTGCTGCTTCTTCTTTCACTGTCCAGTCATAAGCTGGGGGAGGGACAAAAGTTGTAAGTGTTACTTAACTGCAGCAGAAAAAAGTCAGGTCCCTTGGCCTGCCAGATAGGGTTGTAGGGCAGAGCTGTGCAAGTCTCTTGACTGGATGGAGAGAAATACAAATCCTTTGCCAGGTAACACAGCCCCCCTATAAGTATTTTATCTGTGTTTAGCAGTTTGCAGTAGTGACCCAAGGTAAACACACACTTGTGGCCAAAAGTAGTGGAAATCATCCACTTTTTTTTTCCAAAAGAATCTTTGTTATTGAATAAGTTGAACCTGGAACAAATATTTGACATCCACCATTCTTTAGATCAATGTCCATAAGGCAGACATTTTGCATTTGCTTTACGACTTATCATAATCCTTTTATAATAATAAAACAAATGAAAATAACATGAACATACCTGTTGCTACTCCTGACCTAATATTCTGTAGTCCTTTGGAGGTAACAATTGCAATCAAGTGCTTTCTGAAGCTCAGGAAAGATTTCTACAATTCTGAACTGGCTGTTTGCCCTACTCTTCTTGAGCAAACTGCACCAATTGTTTTAGGTTTGAAGGGCTCCTCCTTTCAACTGTGGGTTTTAGCTCCTTCTGGTGCACCTAAGAGACAGAGCTTTTCAACACTGGGCATTATGTTTTGCATCAGGATGCCTTGATATCCTTCTGATATCATGGTGCCCTGTGCAGAATCATGGCCCCCAGTGCAGGAGGCAGCACTGGGACACAACAGAATTATGGAGCCTCCTCTAGTAGTATGGAGGACTGGATGTTTTGGGTTTTTTAATAAGTTTTTTTTAAATTATAAACCTATAACTGTTGTGACTTACAAAAAAAAAAAAAAGCTCTAATTTTGTTTCCTCTACCCAAATGACAGTCCTACAGAAGGAATGTAATGTTCTGTAACATATACTTTGGCAAGCTCCTCTGGCTTTCTCTTCCTCTGTCTCCTATCATGAACGCCACTTTCATTCAGACAACTGATAGTTTAACTTGATATTGTGGTACACTGATCTTAGAAGTTAGCCAGGATTTGAAGTTTCCCTTGGCTCTATTTTTATTATTCATTCATCTGTCTATGCTCCTCTGGTGGTTACACCCAAATGTGTTCTCAGTACAGATGCACCGATACCAGTTCAGATACCAGTACCGATACTTGGCATTTTCATGAGAACTACCAGGGTTGCAGTGGTTGCAGCTGGGACCTGGCTCTGGCTCTCCACCACTGTCCTGAAATCATAAGTCGATATTGTTTTAGAAAAACAAAAATTTACCAGTACTTGTATCTGTGAGTAACTTGTACTTGAAAAAATGGTATTGGTGCATCCCTAATATTATATAATGTAACAAGGACACTCCACTGTAGTCCAGGTAAATCAAGTAGAATGCAGTTTATTAAAAGGACAAACACCAAATAGCCTGCAGCAGCAGCATAAGACAGTCCTTTATATGGCTTTCCTCATGAGCCCTCACTATGCTCTCCCAGCAGTGTCCCAGCGGTCCTAGGGTCACCGACCTTCCTGACCTCTCCCAGCCTTCCCTGGCTGTTCCACGTGTCCCACACGCACCTGAGTCTGCTGTGGCTTTGTGCTTCCTGCACCCACACAACTCCAACACTCCTCTGAGCACTGGGCTGGCTTTCTGATAAGTCTGCTCTCAGCCACCTGATTAGCCCAGGCTGGTCAATGGCAACACCTGGCCCCAGGACTGGAGATCTCATCCCACCCAGAGCTCTACGAAATCTCCAGAGCTCCAGATCCCAGCTGCAAATAGGAAAACCTGGAATAACCTGAAAAGCCAGGTTCTTCCTTATA